ATAAACAATATGGGACTTATGTGTTTGCTAGTGCACACAGAGTAACAGGTCCTTGAGATCACGAGGAGTTTGATGAAAACGATGAGGATGATCTCCCTGCACTGCAGTGAAGGTTATCACCGAAGATTATGATGACAAGAGTTACCCCTCGAAATTGCTGAAGTGAAGCAATTGGTTCGGTTCATGTCCGAAGGAAATGACTGCGTTTGAGGAGATTAAAGACGAAGTGAAGACGTAGCATTTATTCGTTGTTCTTCTTCCCTTTATTGAGTCATAGGACCACCGTACTATTAAGAGGGGTGTAGCGTTCGAAACTTTGATTCTCCGATGCTAAACCCAAATCCTATGAAAGTTGCGAGAGAAATCTCTTTGTGTTTCGAGCGAATACTTGCCAGCAAGAGACTGTGATCTTCTTTGTTGTGAGAGATTTGACTCGGACCGGGAGTTAGCACTACTTGTTCCTCAAGTAATGTTAACATTGCTCCAAAAATCCGACCATTGCAAACGTGTTGATTGGCCATTGGCTAGACCGAGTGTCCAAAATGGTCATTTCCCATCTGGGAAGGCTGCGGCTATAAATAGCCACCCCGCGCCGGCTTTGTCCAATGGCTGCTCCATCTGATTCTGAGAAGATTGTTGAGAAACCCCCTCTCTGAGCGATTTGAGTTTAAAATCCATCGAGAGAAAAAACCTAGATCCGAAGAATTAGATAGTGGTTCAGCATCACTCGAATCTAAGTCCAGCACGATCTGCCTATTACTCTTGAGAGCTGCAAACTCTCTAGACGGTTAGGTGTAAATTTATTCAGAGACCAAGAGTGATTGTGGTTCTCGAAGAAGAAGTCTGTAAAGGTTTGGAGATCTCCTTCAAGTATCTACCACGTGTGATCGGCATTGATTGACGAACCGATTGTCGAGGAGAATAGGGTGAAGAGAGTTTATCTTCCATGTTAAGTCACAACCCCTCCAACCAGACATAGTCCTTGTACAGAAGGACAAACTGGTTGAACAAATACCATGTCGCCATCGAGCATCACTGGTTACCTCTGTCACCCATGTTTACCTGTATTTTCATTCGTGCGATTTGTCTCAATGCATGACTTAGTTCTTTTCAGTACTTAGTTTTAGCTCGCTGTAGTTTGTTTTTCATTCGCTCCGCTGCTGGGTTCCGAGGGTTTTGAGTTTTCCAAAGAAAATTTAAAACTCCCATTCACCCCCCTCTGGTAGACATACTTCGTTCCTACAGTTTCACAAATTACCCAAACGACAGTACAATACCAAGGAGTGTGCTCGAAGGGAATTTTTCCCATTTTACCCCTACTTAAGAGGATGTTGTTAATTATTATCCTCAATTCCTATGGTTTTGCTCCCTCATTTTATGTAACTCTTGCCACACGTGGAGTATGCCAGGACGAATGGGTGGGGGCATGTGGCCGAGAGAGTAGTGTGAGAAGCGGGTTCATATGATCGGTGAAGGGAAAATTGGGGTACTTTTTTCACATCACATACCCCGAAAGAAACACACTCCTGGCGCCCTTTTCTGGTTGAATTGCATGAAAAGTTCATGCCATTTTTTCAAATGAGAGGAATACATTTGAGCTAGTTGTTGAACAAATCAATAAAAATAAATCATCTCTTTGAGGTTAGGTTGTTAAAACGAAACCATCCAGGACTAGTACCATGGAGTTTGTGCACCCGCGCGCCCAACCAATAGAGTGATATTTTGTTTTCTAGAGGCGAGGTTGTTACCCATGAATATATTTTTACCCTGAAATTTTAGGATCAAGATCAAGGCCTCCATTTGTTCAAAGAAAAAATAGAGGAAAAATATAGGAATAGAAAAAATCTCATATAGTGAAACCATTCAAGCCTTTGGTTCAAACGAATGTAATAAAGAAAACACAAAGGTAATTTTCTTTTGGTGCCAATTTTAACAAAAAAATGCAAGAATTTTACAATATACTTGGAACTCCTTTTCAAATTCCTACATACAAAGAAGAACTAAGATTCTCAGTGGCAGAACAACATGCTAATTATACCTTTCCATGTGGTCTGACTTTGATTTGACTCCGTTTATTCGGATTCCTGCATTTTTCTATGCATGTGAACCAAACACGACTACAAAATTCCTTTTTTAGAAAGTATGCTTGCATTCAAATACGGAAATAATACAAAGTTCTTGACCCATACAAGCACACCCTAACGCACACACAAATAATCCAAAAAACAAAGAGCAACCTAAAACAACCAGTAAAACACGAAGATCTCCGGAGCTCAGCATCATCATCCCTAAAACTTGCGAGAAAACTCCTGCAACACAATAATATGCAAATTAGACCCCAAGCATCTCATTATCTCCAACCACAACATAAACGCAAGCAGGTCTATCTTCAACAACAACATAATCGCCACCATGCTTCTCCTTCTTTTTTCACTCCAATGCCAAAAAGACAAGGACACACATGTGCATCCAACACACCTGCACCAGCCTTCGCCATTTGTGGCTTTGAGTACCGCTTTATGCACCCCTTTCAGATGAAAGAGAACTAGGATCGGGTTCAGGCGCCGTGGCAGGGCCAACCGCCCGGGCAAAACAGGACATCTCTCTAGCAACAACACAAAGAAAGAGGAAGAGCAGCGGCAAAATCACACTGATGTGGAGGAAGAAGAATCTCGGTCTCCGCACAACCACCACCCATCTGAGGACCAAACCGGCCAGCGCCGGTCGACCCACAGACGCCATAGCCCACGGCCTCGACGAGATCCGAGGATCCCCACCCCGCTAGCTCCTAGACGAAGACAAGAGCCCCACCTAACCGTGAATGGAGGCCGAGGAAACTTATTCAGACGTGACGCCGCCCAATGGCCTCGACAACGTCTCCCTCAACCCTAATCCTACGAAGAACCCAACCGATGCACAGATCCGAGGTTCCCCCTCCCTCCCGCCGCCGAAGCGGCCGACGAAGGGAGAGGGAACCAGTGGCTGCGCATTCCTATATTCTCTGATTCACTTTACACGTGCATTCCTATCTAATTTCCGTGTTTTTCCCCTTCTTTTCTGCGTTTTTAGAATCGTGTAAAAATTACAAACACGGCTCCCTCAACTCCGCGAGTGTATGTTCATCTGTGGTGGTGTACACGGGCCCATCTGCAGTTTTTATGGGGGTAATAAAACAAATTTAATGCCCTCGCCCATCTGGAGATGTGCCTGGCTAACCTCGGTAGCCACCTTGCATTTGGAATTGCGCTTTACTAAATCCCAATTCTAATCCCCGTTTACACTCGTGCCGTGTTCTTCCCATAAACCTTCTCTCCTTCCTCCTCACCGTCTCCCCCAGATTTGCCTCCCCAGATTCCGTCCCGCTTCGCCTCGCCGGCCGCCGCCGCCGCCCGCGCGCAGCCCTCCCACCGGGGCACGCCCGCCGGCTTTCAATTGGAGGAATTCGGATCTCCTCCTCCTCCTCTGCTGGGCTTGCTTGGAGCGGAGATCCGCCGGGACCTCAGTTTTCGGTAAGGAAACCCTGCCCTCCTCGCATTGCTAGTCGTCTTCTTAGTCTTCCCTTCGCTCCGAGCAAGACCGGCGGTCATGAGACCTGGGCGAGATGAGCTGACGACCGGCAGGGTATCACGCCTGTCCAGTCGACGGGACCCAAAAATGGTGAACTATGGCGGAGGCTGGAGTAAACTATGGCGGAGGCTGGAGTAAACTATGGCGGATGCTCATAGCGATGCCGACGCGCAAGTCGTATTTCTCACATGGGTATAGGGGGGAAGGCTAGTTGAACCCTGTATGCATCTTTAGATTCCGTAGAGCTGCTACTACTAGCCTACTAGGCAGCAAGTTCCATTTCGAGTAACGTTTGTTGTGGAATGTGATGCTATGGTTGGGACTAACTTCTCAGTGTCCCCAATTTATCCCTTGTGTGAGGATGTCATCCTTCTTATTTGTCAGGACACTATTGCCTCACTGTAAGATCATTGGCAAAGCTATAGCACCGTTAAAATGCCGTTTATTCTGCTGGCTGCCCTGCAGCACCGTCGTTTGACTGTTGTATACGACGTCACCAAGCCTGGGACTGCTGAACACCTTTTCAAGATATGCTCGTGGTCTCGGCTTGTCATCTCTGGCTTGTCGTGTTGCGCTGGGCCTGGCATGGGTGCATATATTGCGATTACTTGTGTTATGCACCTTGTCATTCTGATGCCAGTCCATAGCCTTGTACAGATGTCTGTGTCCATTTTTTATAGCTAGATTGCGCCAAGTGTAGGGGAGAAGGCTAGTTGAACCCTGTATGCATCTTAGATTCCGTAGAGCTGCTACTACTATGCAGGAAGCTCCATTTCGAGTAACGTTTGTCGTGGAATGTGATGCTCTGGTTGGGACTAACTTCTCAGTGTCCCCAATTGATCCCTTGTGTGAGGATGTCATCCTTATTTATCAGGACACTATTGCCTCACTGTAAGATCATTGGCAAAGCTATAGCTCCATGAAAATGCCGTTTATTCCGCCGGCTGCCCTGCAGCACCATTGTTTGATGTTGTATGCAACGACACCGAGCCTGGGACTGCTGAACACCTTTTCACGATATGCTCGTGGTCTCGGCTTGGCATCTCTGGCTTGTCGTGTTGCGCTGGGCCTGGCATGGGTGCATATATTGCGATTAATTGTGTTATGCACCTTGGCATTCTGATGCCAGTCCATAGCCCTGAACTGCTGTCTGCTTCCTTTTTTTAATAGCTAGCTTGCGCCAACGGTATTAAATATATGTCTTAGTAATAGGTGTATGACTAATAACTGAGCATGTTGCATACAGACAGCGTGAAAGGGGAAAATTTCTATTTATTCTTAACACTGTATTGACAGAGCATTTCCTTCTTGTTACTACCAAATATGTTAAATAGTTTCAGCAAATACTCATCATGATGTCCCATTCATCTTTCCAATTAACATATTCTTTTATGGTAAAGGATTCGGTTGGATGTGATACTCCAGTTCTGACAATGAATAATTCAGACAAGAAGTCGGTATGCTCCATTCCTAGAAGATCATCAGAACGGAGGAAACAGTCCTCTTCTGAGTTGGTTTCTTCAGCTAAAAGGCCAACTCGCCACAATACCTCCAGCAGTTATAAGCCAGATCATTGTTCTCCTCCCAAGAGAACAGTAAGAACAGTCAGGAATGTTAATCTGGCAAAATATATAAAGAACAAGTATTATCGAAGTCCTCTGAGCAAGCGGCAGTCTTCAAATGCTGCTACTGGAAAAAGTGCAACAGGACCAGTCAGGAGGAGGAACCGGAAACGGAGAAGGCACAATACTGATTGTGATGAGGCAACTCGCATGGAAAGAAGGGCGAGATATTTGCTGGTCAAAATAAAATCGGAGCAGAATTTAATAGATGCATACTCTGGAGATGGCTGGAATGGGCACAGGTGTGCACCACTCTCTCTCTCTCTCTCTCTCTCTCTCTCTACTGTCTATTGCTGGTAAAGGAAAATCTTAAATCCATATAATCTTACATGCAGTAAAAAAGAAAAAGGGTACCTGTAAATATCTTCAATTCTAGCATGAACAAATGTAAAGTATGACACAGTTTTAGCCTACTACAGTTTGTTTAGAACAATTATGCGCGTGAATTTATATATGAGGTTTGTAAATATTTTACGCTTTTAAGTCATATGAAAATCCATGTAGTTTTAACCACTTGCTGTTTGTTTCTTATATAGGAGGATCACAATCCGTCCTAAGTTCATTGGTAGTGGCCATTGATGACTGATATATTAAAAGTAATTATTTGTGGGAAGTACCCATTGGACTTGGTTAGTTGGACAACATGACGTCCGTGTCCCATTTCTTGAGATAATAGAAGTATAGTCGAGTAGCTTTTGTCACTAAGTAGTGTAAGCTAAGTCTGATTTGCCTTTCAATTGTCATGGTAGAATCATGCAAACAGTTCATATTATTGTTCGTTAAGCTATGTTGCACACTTTACTCGTGCTGCATATGACCCCCCTTACTCTTTTTGCTCTTCTGCTTTGAAGTTTCTTACAGTAAAATAAGAGTGCTAGTTATATTAATTGAAGGTGTGCTTTTCCAAACAGCCGAGAGAAATTAAAGCCAGAGAAGGAGCTACAGCGTGCTAAGAGACAGATCATTAAATGCAAAATTGCTATCCGTGATATTATCCATCAACTTGATTTGTATAGTTCTAGTGGGAGCATGGAAGATTCCGTGATGCCTCCAGATGAGTCTGTTAAGTCTGTTAACCCTGATAATGTATGTATATCATCAAATCAGTCAATACTCCCTACTTCCACATGATTATGTAACTGATGGATTATCAATATTCTCTTTGCTAGACTATATGTTCAAGATGCAAGTCTCCTGAATCAGTTCCCAACAATAAATTTATCTTCTGTGAAGGGGCCTGCAAAATGGCGTACCATGAGAAATGTTCAGAACCTCCTCTAGACAGAAGTGGGTAAATTTTTCTCGGTTTTCTTTTCAAACTACTAGGCTGCACATATTTTTGTAACATGCTTATTTGCATCCTTGATTGGTGTAAAGCTTCGCAATTTCACTTTGATCACCTAAACAACACTTCTTCTGTTTCTTATTTTGTCTCTGTGTTTCTTGTGGAAATACAGTAGCAAATGGAATTAAAAGATATCTGTAGTTCTGCACTAATGCAAATTACGCAACTATGTTTTCCAGTACTAAATGATCTCAATTTCATCTTTATTAAATAAGTTTCCAGATTTAGTTGTGGTTGTTTTATTTTTAAAAAATTATCTCCTAGTTTCTTACTCCCTAGCATATCATCATTGCCTACATTATTAACAATTTTCATGTCATGTTGGTGTTCATAGTTTTATCCATTCAATCCTTTCCTTGTGTGTTGTATCCATTGTACTGATGTAACCATTAGGTAACATCAAATAACTCTGGAAGGTGAGCTCAAATGCTGGAAAACAAATGAACTGTGGAGTCATGCAATACGCAAAAGCTGTTCAATATTTTTGCATGAGGAAATTGTTTAAGAATAATAATCTTAATATTACTCACCTTTAAATGAAATCAAAGGATGAAATCGAGTAATACTTACCAGGTTAATCTAATTTGCAATAACACACACTCATGCTGTACCTTCCATTCTGACAATTATATATACATTCTTGTTGCCTCCTGTGGTTGTTTACTCCGTATCGAGATGTATTTTTATATTTGTTAATATGGCTTTGTAGATGTTGTAGTCCTAATTAGTTTATGTTTTATAATGTACCTGTCTCTGTATTGTGCAATCTCTCAGGTCTTCCTACTGGTGGTCCTGGATGGCTTTGTAAATTCTGTTTCTGCAAGATGAAAATTTTAGAAGCTGTAAATGCACATTTGGGAACTAGCCTTACAGTGATGTGTCCCTCTAAAGTAAGTCCCCCTCCCCCTCCTTAATTTTTTGTGCATCCATTTCTTTTATCATTTTTACATTGAAGGATGTTATCCTATTCAGACACTGTTGACACTAGCTTTCTATAGGATATTTTTAAGGAAGCAACTAAAGAGGTGGACTCTGAGGATGGACTAGGAGAGGATTGGTTATCTGAGTATTCAGGTGATGAGGACTATGACCCTGAAGAAAATGACTTCACAAGCAGCAGCCTGGATAGTGGTGAAGAAAGTATATCTGATCAGTCCAATTGTTCAGGAAGTCCGCTTTATTCTCCAAACGATGATATTCCAGGCTTTATATCAGCAGATTTCACTGATGCGGAAGGATTCTACCACACCAATTCAAATTTAGGAATTGATTCTGGGGATGATGATGTTGCCGAGATGCTTACCTACCAAAGGCCAAAGAGAGAGGTTGATTATAAAAGACTTAATGAGGTGTATTTTGCTAAGCAGAACATTTTTTTATACTTGCAATTCAAGGAACTGCATTTTGAATTAGCCATGTGTCGTGTTTTATTTGCACCTTGAGTAAGTTATTCATCAGCATTACATTGTTTGAACAGGTTGGGGCTTTAACTGCTTTCCACCCTTCACAGGAAATGTTTGGAAAGCTGACTGAGAATGAAAAGCAGAGTGAAGATGAAGATTGGGGTACTAATAATAGGAGAAAGAAAAGAAGAGTGCATTCAGCTGGTGTTGGAGTTAAGTCTGCCGAGGGTTTGTCAGATGTAAAATCAAATGAGAAAGCCCAACCGCAGAGGAGAAAACTCTTCAGAATTCCACCTGAGGCAGTTCAGGTAAACAGTGATAATAATTACACCCCCCCCCCCCTGCGCGCGCGCGTGATAAATGGCTGGAGCTTTGCCTTTTAATTAAGGTACGAACACCTCAAATTTGGGGTAAAACGGTAAAAAGAACCCGTGCATGGTGTGAACTACTCCCAAAAGGAGAAACAACAGACAACAATAGCCACCACATTCTGATCAAGACATCATTGGCCGTCGTATAGGTGAAACTTCTCCCTCCACATGGCGACACACAGCAAACTGTCTAATTGTCCACATACGCGCGCCCAAGTTCCTATCCATTGCCCTTGCTGTGGAGGGACGGGATGGAGTGCAGCCTCATCTTCAGGAGGTGGGCTTGAGGGAGGTGGTTCCGCTGCCTCGAGCACAACCACAATGTGAGCTCGTGTCGCACAAGGGCACAAAGTGGGATCCAATCTGTTACCAGTTGCCTCCGCAATCTCGTGCACCTCCCTCGAGCGCACCTCTTGTGCTGTGCTCCCTTTTGTCCCTCCGCAGAAGGGTGGTTAGACTGCGCCGCTATATGTGTGCCGGAGAAGGGGAGATGCTTGCCTATATGATCACTGATGGTGTCTGACGGATTTTTTACTGGTCTACCCCAAAACTGGTATTTTTATCAAATTGTTTTATTCTTAATTAAATAATTAATAGTCAGAAAAAAAACCTGAACAAAAGTTTATACTGATTTTTTAACATTGGTAGAGGCCGCCGAAATTGTAAAGAAATTAGAATGCAGTTCATGCTGTAGCATGTAAAGCTTTTCATTCAAAACTTTGACCAACTCTAGCCTACACCAAAATTAGTAGAGTTAACAGTCTTGCAGTTTAAAGTATATTTTGTTCTGCTGCCATAGATGGTCTGAATTTTTGGTTGAAGTTTTCCATGTCCACATGTATAGCATGAACTACATCCATCGGAAGAAAAATCATAAATCTCAAAAACTTTGGGGTGCCTCTACTGACAACGTGTGCACACACACATTTTCATATAATCTTCATTCTTACTGATGACTATAATGAGATTCCTCATTGGGTTTATTGTGCCTGTAACTGTGGATATGTGTTCTTCACATCAGGTTCAGTCTTGCTTACCGTATTCTAATATCCTCTTCATGTTGCTAAACTAGGTACTACGCAAATCTTTTGCTGAAAGTGAGCTTCCAGCCCGGGAGGTGAAAGAGAGTCTCTCAACAGAATTGGGTATTTCTTTTGAAAAGGTGACTAATGTTGGATTGAATAAATTTCACAGCTGTGTATTACTCTTTACAGCTTACTGAGACATGCTTATTGACATGTGTATCTCATTCTGCTAGTCAATCACCTACACATGCTTATTGACATGCGTATCTCATTCTGCTAGTCAATCACCCTTTGACACTGACTGGGCCATACATCACATCTTCTTTAAAAAAGAAATATACTCTTTCGTCAGATTCATAGTATAGTTGGTCACTCTTTCGTCCCTTATAAAATATCATAAACGTAGCATATTTGAAGTAGAGAAGTATAACCTGAAAAAAGAGTCACTAACCAATGTCTGATCCATTTACAGATTGACAAGTGGTTCAAAAATACAAGGTGTGCTGCTCTCAGAGATCGGAAGGCATGCATTTCTATCTCATAATTATTCATACTCGTATTTTTGTTGAGTCTTTAACATGTGCTTGCATTCTCACGTGGTCTCCCGTGTTCAATTCTGGATATTGCTTACTTTTCTTATTTCCGTTTGCTATATTGCAAACATTCAGCTGTCACCTAAATGGAAAGTACTAAACAGAGATTTTATTTTTCAATTTTCGACCCTGAACTATGGCAACAGTTCAGGGTTGGTACTGTATAACTGTCTGAAATGCAACCAAACAGTCCACTCTTCCCTCTCAAGTAATTTTGACTTTGATGACGACCTCAATGCCATGTTGCTGGCATGCCATCAGATACCATTCTTTTTCTTTGTTTCAGCCAATTTTTTCTGTGAAAATTTTCTATTAAGATGATAGTTTCTTTAGATTGTTTTTTGGGTGTTTTTGACAGTGACATCCATGTCATCCAAAACTCCTTGTGAAACCAGCCAAAGTCGAAAAGTGGACTATTTCAGTAGTTTGAGGTTACAATTCAAACGGTTTTAGAGTTCAAGGTGGAAAAGTGAACTTCCAAGGGTGTTAGGCTTAAAAAGTTGACTTTTTGAAGGTTTCATTCCATACTTGAATCTTTGATTTCTATAACTGCACAAATGTCAAATTATCTCTTTGGATGGATTTAGCTACAGAAGTACATATGGTATAGACTGAACTATCTTTCAAGTACTGCGCTCCTTCGCCACAGCTTATGTTTCAATTCCATTCCATGTGTAGAACTTTAAGAATAAACTACACCAGTTTCGGTTTTTTCTTTAGGTGTATGTTGTGGTCAAATATTTTCAACATACAGTTTGCATAACACTAGTGCTGTCTGCAGGCTGAAGGAAATAGTTGTGTTGCTGGTCCCAGCAAAAGATCGAGACGGAGTGCAGGGAAATCTGGAAGTTCAGTCAAGATTGATTCAGTGGACAATTCATATCTTATTCCCGTGTCTGAAATCATCAGTGTACCTACACATCCACAAGGGATTCCTGAGAGGAAGCCCGAATCAACTAGTAGAACTGTGAGGAGGCTGGTACATGATAAAGGAGCTCCCTTGTGTCCGCCCGCCGAAGTCAAGGTACAAAGACAAGTTTGATTGTTTATCTTGGGTAATTTGCAGATCTAATATGAACTAATAATGACCTCCATCTGGAATAATATACTCTGATTAGATTTGTTCAACTGAGTGTACTCCTAACGTGTTTGCAGGAGAGTACATCACCTACAACCAAGCCTGGCTTGAATCCTAGCCATGTAGCAGATCGCATCATCAACACCGAGCATAGAGCTGCTTCTCGGGAGGCTCCAGTGGCCTTCTCGGATGACCCTTTCTTCGATGCAATCCTGTCATATCCCACCATCAACACCAATGACAGAGCTGTTTCTCGGGAGGATCCGGTGGCCTTCTCGGACGATCCTTTCCTGGATGTGATGCTAGCAAACCGCGACATCTATACTGAGGAGAGAGGTGTTTCTCATGAGGACGTGAAGCGGCCTTCTGGTGACCAGCCTTTCCTGGATGTGATCCAGAACGTGTGCGGGCTCGAGCATAGGCTGCAGAGACTGAAGGGGGACATGCTATCATCAGGAGCAGCACCAGGCGGCGCTGGAACCGCGGAGCGTGACTTGCAGAACCAACTGGTGGTTCTCGTACCAACTGCCGAGCTGAAGGACAAATCACAGCCTAGCATCTGAAATTCCAAGTGCAGATGCAATACTCCATTTGCGCGTTGTCGATAGGAGTTATTAAAACATATAGAAGAAATAGTGTAGACAAGGAGAAGAAAAGGAAACTAGTGGCTCTAGTCTAGGGTTCTAGCGGACAAGGGGCCTCAACAGTGGTCGTTACCGTGTGTCACATTAAAGTGCGTCTTCGGTGTTACTAGTATACAAGGGCAGTTGTTACTGGTCTTAATGGGTTGGAGTTATATACCGTTTGGGGTTCAAAATGTTTTGGATTAGAACCATGTCGATGTGCAAACTTTTGGTAACCTCAATTCTCTTTTTTTTTTCCATTTCATTTTTTTTTAGAAAGCTCAGTTTTACCTGCAAGTGAAAATCCGTAGATTCAGTTACCGTTATTGCTACTGAGCGATGATATTGCTAGGCAATTCATCTCTTCACTCTCTTCTAGCGCAGTGGGTTTTTTAATAGTGCTCGAGGGTTCACGTCCTCTTTTTAGTGCCGTTTTTTGTTCATGGGAAGTAACGGTGAACTCAAGACAGTTCCAGCTGACCAGCTCCCAAGCCTTCGGACGTATGCTGCTCATTGCACTCTGACCCCCCGTCGTTGCTGTTGATAGTGTCGCTGCAAACGGCGCCGGCCCTTGAACAAATTTTGGCCACAATCACGCAAAGCGGCAATGACTGAGGCGCCGTGGCTCTCCGTCAGGAAGATCGATCTCCAATATCTCGTGGATAAGGCCACGGCCCGCGGGGAAGCTCACGGCTTTAGTTCTTCATGTGAGCACCATCTGTGCTTCCGAGAAGATTGAGCGGGTCTTCCTCTTACAGGAAGATGTTATAGAGGGCCTTCCTATAAGATGATGCTGTTCTACTATGTGTGCCTTTTAACTACACAGGCTTGTTTTGTTGTTACTTTGCATGCCTCTGATGAGTCCTCGTCTTCTTTCCAATTCCATTATTCTTCGGTGACGCGTTTACTCTCCCTGTCAGGACTTCTCCTCATTGTGAAACTCAATTTTTTTTTTATGGAAAGCACCACCAGTATTCTCATGCACATCAACTTTGTGGAGACTTCAGTTCAAATGCATTTGACTTGTAGGAAAAAGATGACATTAAACGATGACATAAAGTTCAGAGGGTTGGGAAGACCGCCCTCTGACACCTGCTGCTTCCATTGGAAATCAATAACAACATTCAACCAGCATCCATGGTGTTTCATACACTCATCCAGAACATAGAAAAGAGAAGCTGAACCAACAAACGTTGGATGAGCCACTTACAGCCTCGGCTGTGTTCGACAGAACAAAAGACATAATCAAATCCAGCAAGCAGATGAACTACTTCGGTTGGTCACGAGCTAAGATGCAGCAGCCTGGTGAAGAGGAGCTTAATTAGCAGACCACTTCCTTGGACGGCGACGACGACGACTCGGCGATCACCGCCAGCTTTTCGTCATCCAAACCATATGTCCTGTCTCCACACTGAGGCAGCCTCGGCTCCAGCGTCTGCCAGCTACAATATATATACATTCCTCTCAGCTCATTACAGATAGGCGAAAGCACATAGCTCTTTTGCAGAACTGAAGGAGACTTACCGTGCTTGCGAGGGTTTCCGACAGCCGGTTGATTTCTTCGGGGATATCTGAATCTGTGTTCTTGCCTGCCAAGTGTGTTTTAGCAGTGAAGCACTCGACCATTGGCTTAGCATGGGCACCCCTATGACGTAAACTCAAGTTTAGTGATAATCCACTTGATGGCTGCTAACAAAAGAACGACAAAATGCGGTGTGTTGGAGGCAGCAGCACTGACCTGCCCGGAGCATCGTTCTCACTCAACATCGGCAAGATTTCTGTTTCTGAAAATAGGAGGCTGTGATGACTCACACCTGCTATTCCTTGCTTCTCCAGAAACTGGATGTGCTCCCGCAACGACTCGTCCCTGGAAGATATAGTACAGGCAAACAGATTAACTTTTTTTTTTTGCCGGGTGAAAGAGAGTTTTATTCCATAAAAGCAGGGTTACAATCTTGAGCCAGCTGCTCCTCACAACACGGAGGACTCGAACTCAACCATACCGCAGTACAACACTCGGTACGGCTATAATGTGCCAAAAGATGAGCTACCCTGTTTTGATCTCTACTAATTTTCAGAGGAACAAACTCCCTATCAACCAGAAGTGCCTTAATCTCGGCATCTAAATGACCATAGACCGACCTAGATAAAGTGTCACCCAAAATAGTGGCTAGAGCACATGAGGAATCCGATTGGACAATCACTGGTTTATCCGAGTGCTGAATGGCCAGTGCCATTCCTTGCATGAGGGCATGAATCTCTGATTCCAGTGCATCACTTTGGAGCAAAGAACCTAGAGTTGTCACCGACTATTGCTATCAGGGATCAAGAAGCTCCCTGTCCAGCCGATTCATGTGAAAACTAGCTGTTAATTAGTTCTCCTTTTTTTGCAAATTTCTTATTATCCATTTCTTTTGGGTACCTCAAATTGTCCTAGCAAGAAGAACTAAAGCCTTCTGTACCTCAAAATGTCTCCATAACACCTCAACATTTTTTTGTGTGTTTTCTGACTGATTTGTACTAAGTAATAACTAAAGCCAGTTCCATTTCATATTTATGTTAAAGTACATGGAGCCTCGAATGTTCCAGTGCTGATATCATCAGAATTAATGCAACAAAAGAAAATATCTTACATGTCAAGCTGCTCTCCATGCTCTTCTTGCAATTGTTTCTGGGTAAGGGAAACATCAAAACCTTGTTTCGGCAGACTAAAAAGCTCTTGAATTTCCTGAAGATACGCAAAAGAATTAGGCATAGTACCCAGTAGAACATCCAGCAAGTAATGGCAAGTAACGGTATCATGATACGTACACTCTGGCTGAAGTAACGTCTCTGTTCTTTCTTCTCCGTGGCTGCCCTAAACAAAGCACCCTTGAGGACCTGGAAAAAGGTATATACGATTCAAGGATGCGAAAGTATGGAACTTAAAGATAGGACCTAGAGATGTCATTATGAAAAACATTGGAGTAAGAAAATTCTAGATCATATTTGAACCTGCGATTTATACATCTTTTCTTCGACAGTTGCAGAGGTCATTAAGCGGTACACAATCACTTCTTTGGTCTGTCCAATCCGATCAACCCGATCAATGCTCTGATTATCTGTACTGTAAAATGGAAGATCGTGTTATGGAATAAAAAAACTTGCAGTGACAAGCATTCATAAAAGCAAAGGAATACACTTGTTAAGGACGTGCCAATGTTCGGATACCTTGGATTCCATGCAGGATCAACTAGTATGACACGAGCTGCCTTGGTGAGTGTAAGTCCAAGACCACCGACTTTTGTGGTCAGTAAAAATATTTGACCTCCATAGCCCTCTTGAAAATGCTGGATATGCAAATGCATAATACGTAAGCAACATAGCATGTAGTATAATTGAGTCCATTGCCTAACATAACATAGAAAAAGGAAGTGAGAACAGGAACCTTCACAATCCTTTCCCTCTCGGAAATATCAGTGATGCCACCATCCATGCGAGAACAGTCGTAGCCCTCTAATATTATAGCTTCCTGTTGCAATGATCGAATGTGTTACAACAGATGAGAATCCACGTCTCAAAACTACTTTTTATGATATACTGTAGTACACACTCAACAAAAATGGGAATGTATATTCTGATGCCAGCACTAGATCAGACATGCCAAAAGCCACCAGTCATGCTAAGACAATATTTTATCTCAAGTACTACTTGTCTATTGAACGGAACTTGAATGTGATATGCCTCTTCTGTTGCACACAAGTGTCTAAGACTCAACGTAACAGTAAGACGTGCACAGATTTTAACATCAGTATATATTGTAAGCAGAAATTACCCATTTACTCTACTAACAGAGTTTATCATGTACTGCCTCTGTAAACAAATACAAGACGTTTTAGAGACTTAACACAAGTCTCCAAAACGTCTTATATTTGTTTACAGAGGGAGTACGTGAATATACAAAAACAACAATATGTACAAAATAGTACTACCTCCGTCCCTAAAAGCTTGTCTTAGATTATCTAGATATGGATGTATATAACACTAAAACGTGTCTAGATACATCTGTATCTTGACAAATCTAAGACAAGCTTTTTGAGACCGAGCGAGTAGATCTAATTTAAATGTTATAGTATATCACAAAAACACGGCATGCACTCCAAGAATTGACAACAGACCTGAATAAAGTTTAGCATTTTACGAGTCTGAGAAAATATCAGAACATGGTGGCCCTCTTCAAGAAGATTCGGCTGCAACATCAACGTTAACCATTTGAGTTTGCATAAAGAAATAGTTGGAGTACATTACTAACAACTAATATGCTTCAAAGAATGCTTACCAACAAAGACAGGATAAAAGATAACTTGCATGAGACTTCCTGACTGAATTGTACTGCATCATCATCATGAGCCATATCTGTGAGGTTCATGGCCATTTTTTCAACCATCACTATATCCCGAGTACTAAAATCTCCATCCATGCCTTCCAAGATGTCCTCAGCAGCTCTCTGAGTTAACATCAGTGGGTGATCACATATTTTTTTCAATACCTGTTGAGGAAAAGGAAAAACATGAAACAGACATAATTGCACAAAAGAATGTGCACAGAAAAACAAATGACAAACTAAGGCCATACAATTAGCAAATGCTGCCTCCCAAGTGTATTTTTGGTTTAGCTCAGAGGTACGGAAAGGATTAATAGTAAGGGAAAATTATTGTCTTAGAATAGTTAGTCAATATGCAAGTTTAACAATAAATGATGAAGAGAGTGAGAGGTAAATGAGGGCAAGAGATAGAAAAAGGAGAGCATGCCTTATATTTTGATGTAATATTGCAAACTCTTTTGAATGTAAGTATACGATGAGCATACATAAGGAGAGCTAAAGGAGTAGATGACACCAACAAGAGAACAAATAAAGTTAGCAAATCAACAAGACAACAAATAAAGTTGGACAAGATGGA